GGGTTTAGGATTTAGGGGTTTAGGGGTTAGGGTTTAATTAGGGTTTAGGGTTTTAGGGTTTAGGGGCTTAGGATTTAGGACTTAGGGTTCAGGGTTTAGGATTTAGGGTTCAGGGTTTAGGGTTTAGGATTTAGGGTTCAGGGTTTAGGATTTAGGGTTCAGGGTTTAGGATTTAGGGTTCAGGGTTTAGTCCTCTGCAGACCAGGCCACCATGTACTCGCGGCAGAATTGCCGGGCAAGGACTTTCACCGACGGTGGCGCCGTGGTTTGCCCGAGGAGGAATAAACCATCCTTCAGGTTCCCGAAGAAGCCCGCAAGGGCCTGGGCACCAGGGAGCCGAACATCTTGGGGCGTTGAAGGTTTGGGCTTTCGGTTTTGGGATTTATATCTTGAGTTTATTGCTTTTTTGTTTGGGGGGGTTCAGGGCCTTTGGATTCCGGAAAAGCTCATACAGCCCGACCGGCATGGCAGTTTAGTGAAGTGCTGCTGAGCACGCGTTAAGGGCTCGGAACCAAACCTCGAATCAAACCCTCAGCCCTTGCAGCAACACCAAACCACCATGCAGATGCTCTGAAAAGGCCACTCCATGTCATAGCCATAATGCTGGTGAGACTGAGCAAGGTAATGGTAGTGGAAATCTAACAAGCACAACCATGGCAATAGTAATCTTATGTAAGCATCATAGTAACGGTTATCAAGACAAAACAATCCCGTCCTTCAGGCTTTGAAAAAAGCCCAGGCAAACGCAAGAGCCAGCCTGCAAAGCGCTTCGAAAGCTCGATGCAGCCTCGACCTCGCAGAGGCAGTGGGGCCAAACACAGACTAGGCTTCCTTTCAGGGCTCCTTCATATTCAAAGATGAGAAGGGTTCCTCTAAGGGTTCCTAAAGAGGGTTCTATGAGGGCTTCAATGCAAGACAACAGCAGCAAACCCCGCCAACCCGCATCCCGTAAACCTCCCGAAATTAGAAAGCCTAAACCCCTAACCCCAAAAAACAAACTCCAAACCCCAAAACACAGAGGGTGGGGATCTCACCACCAAGCGGACGAAGATCCCAGTCCAAATGCTCACAGTCAGGGTAGGGTTCGTGGATTGACAGCTTTCAACAAGGGACTTGGGATGCATGGGGTTTTGCGTTTAGGGTTTAGGGTCTTGGGATGCATGGGGTTTGACTCCGGCCTACGGAACAGCAATGTGCAAAAGACACTGCTAACCTCAAACCCCAACCCCCTTACCCTCTAAGCCTGACTCAACAAAGCCCAAACTGCACCCCACAACACCACTAAAACCCCCCCGAAAAAATCCAAAATCCTAAACCCTGAACTCCCAAAACCCATAGGCTCCTAAGTAGTTCCTTTTTTGCGGCTTTTGTTTAGAATCCTATAAGGTAATCCCAAAAAGAGAACTACTAAGGAGCCTATGGGTAGCTCCTTGAAACTCTGTGTTGCCGGACCTCGAGCAGCTCAGGGCGCGAGGCGATGGCATAAGCCGCCTCTTCAGCCCCGCCACACCTGGGTCGTGCAAGGTCGGGCTTTCTGCGCGTGTGTATACGATAGATAGACAGATAGATAGATAGATGGGTAGGTAGATGGATAGATAGATAGATAGATGGATAGATGGATAGATAAATGAATGGATAGAAAGTAAATAGATACACAGGCCGATAGATAGATGGATAGATAGACAGATCAATGGGTGTACGGATATAGACATGGATACTGCTATACACATACGCATACGTCCATACATCCATGCACACATAAACGACTTAAAAACACATGCATGTATCCATGCATTCATGTATGCATACAATTATGTATGGATGTGAGGATCTACGGATGTATGGCTGTCTGTATGTCAGTTTATGTAGGGTTTCGACTTGTTTGGGCAGCGAGGCTTTTGCTCCGGGTTCTCTTTCCACTTGCGTGATCTTTACGAGATTGTAGGGCTCGGGGCTGAGATTTGATGACGGCTGCTGCTTCTTAGGCCTGAGGTTTCCTTGGGCCCGGGGGGGAGGGGTTGCGAGGTCTAGCCGTCATGACATCCCTTGGAAACCTCCGAAGGACGGCCAAAAATCTTGAGCCTCTACCATGAACGCCCCTAAACCATAAAGCCTAAATTTAAATGCTAAGCTCCGAACCCTAAAGCCCTAAACCCTAAACGGCCCTAAAACTCTGATACCCTAAACTGAACCAATGAAGCCCCAGGCGCAAGGAGACAAGTGTTGGCATGATCTTCCGGATTTGTGCTTCCTTGGCGATGAGCGGATCCGGCTTCGGGGCTTTCAGCACTCACAACTCGGACAAGCCTGGCGGGCTTTAGGGGTTTAAGGTTCCGGGTTTTAGGGCGTTTAGGGTTTAGGGGTCGGGGTTTAGGGTTGAGGGTCTGGGGGTTGAGGGATTTAGGGCATAGAGTGCAGTGTAGAACGGATCAGGATAAACGGCTTAGGGCCTATAGAGCTGAGGCTGGGCACAGTCCCAAGATTTTGGAAAAGCGTTGGGTGGAGGAGGCCTTCTCTCTCGCCCCCTCTCCTGCACTTCGGCATGCAATGAAGGTGGAAGAACACTCGGGCACCAGGATTCCAAGAGGAACCGCGAAAACGAGGTGACCCGGTGTTCTTCGTCGGATCAGCGGACGCCAAGCCCTATGCACAGCTACGCACGTGCATCCATGCGAACGTGAACTGACACACATTGCTCACCATTGGCTGGGTGACTTCCTCTCACGCCAACATGCCCAAAGGCAGACGCAAACACAGCAATACCTCCAAACATCTATACCCGTATGTGTGCACGCACGCGCATACGCACACACACAAATACACACACACACACAGAGGCACAGCACGCACGCATGCCCACCCACCCACCCACACACACACACACAGACACACACACACACACCCGCGCGCACACACACACACAGAGACAGACACAGACAAACGTGAGCGCGGACACGCGTGCACACGCGTACGCGTGCACACAGCAGCGCGCGCGAGCAGAATCCCGACACACAGAGAGTACCAAATCTTCTTGGCAGGGCTCGCTGACGCGAAGCAGGCTCGGGTTGTTGTGCGTGGCTAGCACGGCGAGTCGTTCGCTCCGTAGAGACCTGGCTACACTGGCAAAAATAACTCATTAACCGCAGTGTTTGGGGTTTAGGTCTCCGAGTTACTATAGAAGAGTGTAATTGCAGGTTGTCCACATGAAGCTTATTGTGAGGCATGTGTCGCCAAAGTTCACGACCCAGGGTTCTGTTCGGGGTCCTGTAAGGCTTTTATAAGGTCTCAACAAAAGCCTTGATTGAGCAGGCGCTGCAAGGTTTCAGGCTTGCTTTGAGGTTCAGCGCATGAGTGCCGCTTGGTGCTGCTATGGTTCTATAAGTTCCATACCTCCTTCTACCAATGAACCTGCATTTTGACGAACACGCAGTCAAGGATGTTGGTCGAGGTAGGTGGAGAGCTAAGTACCAAACCTCAAGTCACTCCGTCTTTTGGCACCTATATTAATTATAGTATATTACAGTATATTCTTGTATATATTAGTATATTATAGTACATTCTAGTACATTATAGTACATTGTAAATACATTATAGTACCTTATAGTGCATTATAGTATATTACCGTTTAGGGCTTTGGGGTTTGAACGCTCCTTCAACTCGGACTCTACAGGCGAGGCTGGTTCGGTTCGAAGGAGAAGCACGTTGGTTACGGCACACTGTTGAAAGGAAACTACAGCTGGGGAGTTTAGGGTATATAGGGCTTCTATAAGGCTTCTATAAGGTATATAGACCTTCTATATGGCTCCTATAACGGTACCTGCCCACCGGAAAATGTCCTAGAACTGTCGGCAAGTCCTGAACAATTAAACGCTACACACCAAGAGCACGTTTCGCGCGCCTGGCGAGTGCCGGAAGCGCCTGTTCGCCCGTGCGCGCCTTCTCCTCAGCTGCTGTTGGGATCTGCTCTTCTGGGCTTTATGGGGTGCTTTGCGTTGTAATTACAGGGCTGGTAGGGCTCAAGGCTTTAGGTCCCAGGGAGTTTCAGGTTTAGGGTTTGAAGGTCTAGGGCCTAGGGCTGAAGCCCAGGCATTGAAAGGTTGAGTTCTGCAAGGGCTGTCATGGAGCGCAAGTTGGATTGAAGGGCGGAGCCTTTTGAAGCCCACCTCAGTCTCCTGAGGCATCCAAGCGTCCCAAAGAAGCTGCGGTTGGCTCTTCGTAGCTTCGCAGAGGTGGTGGCGGGCTGCGACGGTACCAGCCAGGCGTGTGAGGTTGTTTTCCGAGCGTGCTAACCGACCGGAGATGCCTCCTGAGCCCAATCTGGCATTCAAAGTGTAGGAAAATGTAGACAGATGTTTATACGCAAACATGCACTCGCTATATCGCAAACACACCATAGGTCGTAGATAACAGACGTGTATAAGCTGCCATACTAGGGCGAGCTCTTTCTTACACAGCTGCAGGAGAGTTGCTAGACTAGTCTGGGGGCTTTAACAATCAGAATAAGGTTTTGGAGCACATATTGAGTCCCAAGATAGTAAACTCGCAATTCTGTAGGCACTTCGCCCCTGGCCTGTCTTGGCCAGGCGGGGGGTGGAACTCCTCGGCTGAGTGGGGCCATCATCCGAGAAAGGCTGGCTGGCAGATTTCCCAAGCTTGGGCGGCAGAGCCTTCACGGTCCCTGTCAGGGAGAAGGGCATACGGCTGATGATTGTAATCCTGCACTACCCATAATAAGGAATATACGGTAATGCAGGATTATATCATCAACCGTAAGGGCTGAGTTCTAGAAAGCAGCTCGTCAGATCCAGTCCACTGTTCTGCGAAAGAGAAGGGCACAGGACAGCCTGGCCCCTGCCTTTGTGATGTATTTATACATATCTAGATCGGCATATACACATACATAATCATATGGTATCTATATACATACGTACATACATACAT